CATATCCTCCTCCTCCGAATCCACCTCCTCCATGGCCTCCACCGAATCCACCTCCGTGACCGCCGTCAAATCCACCTCCGTGACCGCCGCCGAATCCACCACCGCCATATCCTCCTCCTCCTCCTAAGCTCCGAATCCACTCCGTGACGAATCCACCTCCGTGTCCCCGCCGAATCCACCTCGTGACCGCCTCCAAATCACCTCCTCCATAACCACCTCCTCCGCACGCCTCCAATCTCCCCCAGAATCCACCCCCACCGAATCCACCTCCGTGCCCGCCCCCGCCGTACCCGCCCCCGAGGCCGTGCCCGCTGTACGGCTGGTAGATGGGGATCTTCACGGGGATCAGATAGACGGGCGCCCCCGTAGCCTCCGCCGCCGCCGCCCTTCTTGCCGCCGCCGCCTCCGAAGCCCTTGAACTTGATCCCGGAAGCTGTCCCTGCGAGGAGCACCAGGAGCACCGCCAGCATCCTGGGGGCGCGAGAAGCTGGCGGAGGAGACGAAGGAGGGGATGAGAGAAACTGGGGAAGGAGACGAAGGGGGGATGAGAGAGATAGTGGGGGGACGATGAGAGAAGCGGTGGGAAAGAGACGAAGGGGGGGATGAGAGAAGCGGTGGGGAAGAGGGAGAGAGGGAGAATGAGAGAAGCGGTGGCAAAGAGGGGGAGGGGGAGAATGAGAGGGATAGTGGGAAGAGAGAAATAGGAGAAAGAGGGAGAGAGGGAGAATGAGAGCGATAGTGGGAAGAGGGAGAGAAGGAGAGAGGGAGAATGAGAGAGATGGTGGGAAGAGGGAGAGAGTAGAGATGAATGAGAGAGAATGGTGGGAAGGGGAGAGAAGAGAGAGGGAGAATGAGAGAGATGGTGGGAAGAGAGATAGAGAAAGAGAGAGGGAGAATGAGGGAGATAGCAGGAAGAGGGAGAGAGGGAGAATGAGAGAGATAGTGGGAAGAGGGAGAGAGGGAGAATGAGGGAGATAGTGGGAAGAGGGAGAGAGGGAGAATGAGAGGTGGTGGGGAAGGGAGATATGTTAAAGAGGGAGAGATGAAGAATGAGAGAGATGGAAGGAAGAGAGAGATAGAAGGAAGAGAAAGATAGGGGAAAGAGATAGAGAGGGAGACTGAGAAGTGGTGGGGAGGGAGATTAAAGAGGGAGAGAGGGAGAAGAGAGAGATAAAGGCGAAAGAGAGAGAGAGGAGAATGAGAAAGAGGGAGATATGCTAAAGAGGGAGAGAGGGAGAAAGAGAGAGATGGAAGGAAGAGAGAGATAGAAGGAAGAGAGAAATGTGTGAAGACAGGAGAGAAGAAGAATTAGAGAGGTGGTGCAAAGAGGGAGATTAAGATATATTGAAGAGAGAAAGGGAAAATGAGAGAGAGACATTAGTTTAAATTTAGGAAGAGAGAGGATTAGATGTATGATGTAGCGGGAAAGGGAGAATAAGAGAGAGAGAATAACAAAGGGAGAGAAAGAAGGGAAGATAGATAGCTAGATAGTCTTGCTGATAAATTGATAATTTAGATATAGTGATAGACTGAGAAACAGATAGTTAGATACACAGATAGTTAGACAGATTGATAGATAGATGTACAGAGAGAGAGAGAGAGAGAGAGAGAGAGAGAGAGAGAGAGAGAGAGAGAGAGAGAGAGAGAGAAGAAGAAGAAGAATGGGGATAGATACGAACTGAAATGAAAGAGAATGTGATAAGACAAATATAGCGAGGAAAAGATAAAGGAGGCATGATGTAGATAAGAGACAAATAGAATAATAATAATAATGATAATAAAATACGTACTCATGAAATGTACACATGGTAGATAAATGTATAGATAGATAATAGGTACCCTCATACACGCATACGCACACACATGCAGACATACATATACACAAAAATCCACACACATATACATACATGCAACAAAAATAGAAAAAATAATGCTATTGACCATGATGATAACAATCGTGATAACAAAAAGGATAAATTTCTTTCAGACATGAAGACAAATTTCTTTGGAATTTATTATCATCCTCATAGCTTATAAAGTAGCAATCAAAAGTCAACATTTTGGTGACAACAAATCATATTAAAACATTTTTTTAACTAAAAGATTATGGCAAAATCAAGCGGGGAGACCAGCCTTGAAACGCATGATTGTAGGATGGTCATGCACACGTATCCTGCAGGAGAGTTATGTCCAGAAGGCCTACTTGGATTCCATGCCTCTACAGGTCTCAAGTCGTGCAGAGATTCCATGATTCGAGGTCGAGTAGAACCGCCATAGAAGGTGACTGACTAAGCTTTAGAGATTATTCTTGTTGAAGCCTCCCCATCCTCTCTCTCTCTCCTTCCGCCCTCTCTACCTATCCGTCTTTCCCCTCATATCCTCTCCCTCTTCTTCTCTCTCTTTTCCCTCACCCCTTCGGCCCCTCTCCGTCTACCTTTTCCCTTACTCCTTCGCCCCCTCTCCCTCTTCCTCTTTCTCCTCACCCCTTCGCCCCTCTCCCTCTTTTCCCTCACCCCTTCGCTCCATCTCCCTCTTTCGCTCAGCTCTTCGCCCTCTCCCCTCTCCTCTCTTCCCCTCATCCCCTCTTTCCCCTCATTCGCTCTCTCTCCCTCTCCCTCTTTCTCCTCACCCCTTCGCCCTCTCTCCCTCTCCCTCTTTCCCCTCACCCATTCGCTCTTTCTCCCTCTCCCTCTTTCCCCTCACCTCTTCGCTCCCTCTCCCTCTCCCTCTCTCTCATGCATGTCATTTACTCACTGCCTCATGGCACTGTTCACGCAAAGAGGACCCGTGACCCCACCGAGATCGCGCAGGGTCATGTGACAAGAGGTCAGGCATAGCGATGTCACTTTTCGAAGGTCATGCACGAGGGCCGAGGCAGTCACCAGCACACATCGGATGACCAAGCAAGTTAGGTCATGACGGGAGATAAAGTTCAAAGTTTATAGTGAACTGGAAGATCATGGAGGTGAGTCGAGGTCAAGTGTAGGGAAATTCTAAGTTCAATATCAAAGTCATTTAGAACCGCACGGGTGAAAATGGAGTCTATTTGCACGAGCGGATGACACTTATGTGATTCATGTGATTATTTCACCTTATTTTCATTTAAGGAAATTCAATTTAAAGAGTAAAAATGTGTATGTGTGTGTGATATGACCTCGCTTGACCTCTTCCCTTCCATCGTGAGCTTTAAGTCTAGTTTTCTCGTTCGCTTTCTTATCTCGTTGTTCTTATGCTCACGGTTATTATCAGTCTCCAGCTCTATGTATGCTATAGACTTGCGCAAGGGCGGGCGTGTCCGTGGGATGTGCGTGGTGTGTGTTGTGTGTGTGTGTGTGTGTGTGTGGTGTGTGTGTGTGTGTGTGTGTGTTGTGTGTGTGTGTGGTGTGTGTGTGTGTGTGTGTGTGTGTGTGTGTGTTTGTGTGTGTGTGTGTGTTGTATGTTTGGTGTGTGTGTATGTGTGTGCGTGTGTGTGTGTGTGTGTGTGTGTGTGTGTGTGTGCTGTGTGTGTTGTGTGTGTGTGTGTATGTGAATGTATGTTTGTTGTGTGTGTATGTGTGTGTATGTGAATGTATGTTTTTGTGTGTGTCTGTGTATGTGTGTGTGTACGAATATCAATAAGCATTAATTGTAATCTCCCCTCAATCTCCCTCTACCCGAACCGCCCAATAAACCCATCGACTCAGAATCACCTGTAATTACCGCTCTCTTTCTCGCCCCGAAGCCGGCCGCCCCGCTTCGCTGCCCCGAACCCAGGCCGTTGCACCCGAGAGGCCCCTTCACCCGCCCTGGTTGTAATCCGTCTCGAGCGGGTTTTTGCGGATAACGTTAACGCGGCAGAACGGCTTCGTGTTGAAGAGCAAGCGTTCGATCGGCCGTCGCTCGTCGAAGGGGTCGGCTCTGCTTCGTCTCTCTCAGAGGGCGCGAGATCACTTTTTTTTTTTATTTTTTTTTTTTTTAATCAATTATTGCCTCTGCCTCGTTTCCCTCAGAGGGCGCGAGACCATTTTTTTTATTATTTTTTTCATCAATTATTCAGTTATTGCCTTTGCCTCTTTTCTCTCAGAGGGCGCGAGATCACTTTTTTTTTATAAATTATTCAATTTATTGCCTTACCTCGTCTCTCTCAGAGAGCGCGAAATCAGTTTTTTTTAATCAATTATTGCCTCTATCTCTTTTCAATCAGAGACCGCGAGATCACTGTTTTATTTATTTATTTATTTATTTTTAATCAATTATTGCCTCTGCCTCGTTTCTCTCAGAGAGCGCGAGATCACTTTCTTTTCTTTTCTTTTTTTTTTTTTTTTAATCAACAATGAAGGCGATGTGTCAGGAATTGCAAAATATAATATAATAATAATAATAAAATAAAAAAAAAAATTATCTGGGAGAATGTGTTTTGTTAATGAGATCAACAACCAGCGCATCAAAAAGCTCTAAATGCAGCGCTACTAATTGCAGGTGATCACATTAGCACAATCGAATTATACCGAGACGTATCACTACTATTGCAATTACTTGAAGTGTATAGTTCATAAATGTCATACCATCTATCATGTTCACGTGTACATAGCTTTAGTAATTTTCGATCAGCTAGTTGAAGTGTACTGAACCATGTTGGTCTGAGGTGTTTGTGTTGTGATGATTTGTTTTTCGATTCTATCGTTGTACGATATTTGATATTTGCCTGATTATTAGTCTAGTTGTTCTGTGCACCATGCAGAGAGCTGTGATAGTGCGCAATTCTAGATGATCCAATAATGAATGATGTAAAACGTGATTGTGTGTTAAGTTAGAATATGTTATGATTCCTTGTGTAATTCGTGCTGTGTGACGTTAGTGTATGGTGTGTTGTCGTGCGTCTGTCCGGTGGTGTGATGGTGTGATGTTTGGTGTGACTGACCGTGAGTGTGTGTGTGATAGTGTAGAGCATAAATATATGTGAATAGTATAAATTAATGTGTGTATAGTAATGTAGAGAGAGTATGAAAATAGTAAAATGATATTTTTGTATGTGTGAGCTCACTGCGGTGTGTAGTTGTATATGTGAATTGTATTTAGCTTTGTTGTTGACTGTGGCGCGATCGTACGGCCGCGCGTCGAACGGAGAGAGATGATGAGAGAGGGAGACTGACTATAAGGAAAACAGACAGGAACTTGGGGGGAAGGTGGGCGGGCAGGAACAGGTGAACCGTCGGGCGGCGTGCGAAAGCAGTCACAATGGACAAAAAAAAAAAAAAAACAATAAAGAAAAAAGGAGGAAGAGCAGCAAGGGAAGCTCCAGGGAGAGAGGAAACAGTGTAACAGGCGCAGTGTATGTATAGCAAAGAAGTAGACGACACTAATCAGCAAAGTAAAGACTCACATGAGAGAATCTCGCAGCAACCACACATACATAAGATTACATTATCTAATTAGAGAGATTCGTACATACAAGAGAGCACGCACGAACGATATATTAATAAAATGTTATTTCCAGTATATAGTAGTA